TAACTAGATCAAATTTTAATAAAAAATTGCTTAAAAATATCGATTTTTTCTTAAAATAATGTGGAAAAAATATTTTTAATTTTAATTTTGAAGATTTTAATATTCTTCTTTTTATAAAAACATTACTTTTTTAATATAAACATCTTCAGTTTTTTTCATTTGCAAATTTCTGAATTGCCACAGCTGCTTAACATGCAGTTATTAACCATAATTTATATTATTTTTATTTTTATGTAAAAAAGTTGCTTAGAGTGCCACGGTTCTTTATTAGCAAATCATATATATGTATATTTCAAATAGGTCTGGGTTTAACTTAAGAAAATATTTATATAAGTATGTTTATAATTAAAAATATCTTTATTTTTTAATGTTTTTTAATTTAAATAGAGTGAAACACAAAATTGTTTCTCTACATAAGTATGAGTGATTACTTTTTTAAGGTTATGTGTATGTAAATGCTAAAAATAAATACAAATAAACTACAAATGAAATAAAAAATTGTCTTACAGTTGCAAACCTTTGTACTTATATACATATATATTTCAAAACAAAAAAAATATGAAAATATGTGAAATAATAAGCATAAGTTTAATAAAAAGTGTGGTTAAATTGGAAAACCGAGCTCACTTACTTGTATTTGCCATCTTTGCAAGTCAATCAAATATTTTTCACAACATTTGCACATAGCGGCAAATGCATCACCCATTCATTATTTACAAAATTTTAATGAGATCATTTATTTTGTTTTATGTAAATTTCAGGCACCTCCGATGGTTATTGGACAATCTTGGAGACAGTACCCTATTCGTTGCAGAACACCGCCACCAATGCGACTGGAACCATTTCCAGTGTGGCGAACACTCAGCTGCCGGTACATCAGCATCAAGCCCTGCACCATCAACAGGACGAGGGCAACTCCAGCGAGGCCAATCTACTGGCCGGTGCCACAGTTGTGGTCGAAATACCCACAGAAACGATGCGCAACGCCATTAAGTACACTATACCCGAAGCGGAACATCAACTGCTACACACCGCGGAGARTACGCTAACCAACGCGGGCACCAAGCAGCGCATACACATTGTAAAGGATATGCGTTTAAATCCCACGGTGACGGTGGCACAACAAACCAATATCACAGCCACGCACGTCGAACAGTCGAATCGTCAGCAGAGCACACAACAACACTTCACACTGAATGATTGCCTCAGCACCGGTGTGGTGGTGCAGCAACAGCACCACCACCACCATCCGCAGCGGCAACAGACGACGCAGCCACAGCAGACGGAATTCATAAAAATCGACACAATCCAAGAGAAGATGATGTTGCGCAACGTTATACAATACGATGCGGTGGACGGCTTGCCGGCGGACACATCGCAAGTCATCAGCGCATTGGTGGAGAGTGAGAAGCAGCAGCAGCAGCAACAGCGCCAACAACAACAGCAGCAGCAGCAAGAAGTGTTGCGCAACACGCGTGAGCTGGAGTTGTTGGACAAGGCCGCCATTGAGGCGGTCAGCGACACGGTGCTCAACGCCTTCGAGCAGCAGGAGGCGGAACAGATCGAGGAGCAGAAATCGCAAAATCATGAGGCACAGGACAAGCAACTGTTGCCGCTGATGCATTGCCCCACAAAGATACTGGTGCCGAACGCCAACGAAGTTCAGTTGCAATATGTTTGCAATTTGTGCGGCAAGTCGTACAAAATTAAGGGCTCCTTGAAACGTCACAAGCGCTACGAGTGCGGTGTGGCGCCAACAGTCGCGTGTCAATTCTGTCCGCATAAGTGTAAATACAAATCGGATTTGCGTAAACATGTCTCGCAGAAGCATGCGGGGCAGAGTGGTGAAGAGATGCTGTTGGATCAACGTTTAAGCACCGAATAAAATGGCGGTTTCTAGTAGCATTTAGATTACTTTTAAAGGAGAACTTTTAAAGTACCAAAATCTTAACGAATTAGTGCAAATTAATTTTTATTTATTAGCCAGTTGAAAACTGTAGTTTAACGATTTATTTATTGTGGCGTTTAAGCGACACTTCCCAGTCACACCAGTGTGTGTTTTCCACCTTGGAGTATCGGACTCTTGCTCTTTTTGTTGATGAAAGTTTCAAAGTTTTTTGTTGATTATTTTTAATTAAATGTTTATATATATATTTTTTAATATTATAAATGTTTTTGATAAGGCTTGGTATTTATTTTAAATATATTTTCTAGTACAACTGCCGGTTAGCTTATTTGAAGCTTGCCAACTTGCAACTATGAGACTCATATGTATAATGCATTAAAACTATTTTGTATGTATTCTTTTATTCTGATCAACAAAACATGCTGGTCATATTGTGAAAAAAATCTGCGACACTTGTGCAACATGACTGTTCAACACGACATTTTCAATTTATACCAATTTATGTTTGGTATAATAAAATGCTTTTCATTACAAGAAGGTTCTTTGTCCAGCTCGAGTTTAAATTTTCAACATTAACACGCTGGCTTACAGTGTATTACAGGTGACAAAAATCTACATCCAGGTGCCAAGCAAAAAACCACATGTTGCGTTTTGGCGCAATCGTGTATCACCCGTGATAGATTGGTGCTTGCCTAGTTTTATGTCGTGTTCACTAGGAGGGAACGGGAAGCCAACGTGTAAAAATATTAAAAATTTTTGTAACATTTGATAATTTATTAAGTTTTATAATTTTTTCATACATATATGAATATGATCAAATGCCATTTGTGTACAAATTAAATGAAGAATACAGAAAGTTTAGGGAAAATATTTTGTGGTTGAATTTTTTTACTATTTTTAT